GAATCTAGGGTTGAATTTTACACCTAAACTTAGTTGTTTTTTTTAAATCCTCTCTTGTTTGGGTGGAGATGTGTTAGTGAGGTTAGCCCTTTAATTTAAAAACTAGGATTTCGTGCTGCTTTTTTTTCTCCTTCCATTCATAGCAGAAGTAGAAAAATACTGTCATTCAAAAAAAAAAAAAAAAAAGGCAATACTTTTAGAATTCTAAATACAGAACTATTATATTATGAAATATAATTAAGTGAAATGAAAATTCTCACCATTCTCCATTTATATTAAAAACTAATTTAATGCTGGCCAGGGTGGCTCAGTTGGAGCATTGTACCATATACTGAAAAGTACTCAATAAATATTTGCTCAGTGAATAAGTGAAGAACATGTAGATGGGTTTCCAGTAGGGGCCAGCATGATCTTCAGGTTGGCTGAAGTGTGGAATAATCTTGGAGAAAGTGTTGCTCCTTATAGTAACTTTCCAACTCAGACTAGCCTAATTTATATTTCAAAGTTGTGGCCTGGACATGTAGCTTAGTTGGTAGGAGTGTCGTGCCATTCACCAAAAGGTTTCAGGTTTGCTTCCTAGTCAGGTTCAGTCAGTTGTGGGGTGTTTGGGGAGGCAATAGATCCATGTGTCTCTTTCACATTGACCTTTCTCCTGCCCCCCCTATTTCTCAAATCAATAAAAGCATATCTTCAGGTGAGGAATATAAAAATAAAGTTAGTATTCAAATGCACTTAACACCCTTTCTGTTTTCTCTCACTTGTTAATCATTTGAAGGTGGAAAATGATCCTGTGAGTTCCCTACATGCAGAACATAGCCTTGCACTTATAATGACCTGAGAGTCAAGTCTTTCAAGTAGAGAAACAGTGCTGCTGAAGAATGGAACTTTGGTTATCTTTAATTTAAAATAGAGGAAACAGATGTGAAATGGCAGAGTGAACCTTTCCCCCCATTATAGTATAGATTCTTCAGCTTTGATTATTATACACTAGAGGCCCGGTGCACAAATCATGCATGACTGGGTTCTCTATGCCTGGCTGGAGATCAGGGCCGATTGGGGATGCCTTGACCAGTCCCAATTGGAGCTGGGGAAAGGGACGAGGTGGGGTGGGGGGTGTGGAAGGTTGGCTTGTTGTGGGAGGTTGGCTGTGGGAGCACAGTGACCCCCTGGTGGTCAGTATGCATTATAGTGACTGGTCGACTGGTCATTTTGGTCACTTAGGCTTTTTGAATTTTATTTATATACTAGAGGCCCAGTGCATGAAATTTGTGTACTGGTAGGTCCCTAGTGGCTGCCTCCCTTCCCCCATGTCCTCTCTACCCCTGCCAGCCTACCCCCTGGTCGAACTTCCAGAAGAACTTAGGTTGAGGGGACAATTTGCATACTACGATTTTATTATTTAGGATTTAGCCACACGCAGGCATTAAAAAAAAAGTTCTATATTATAATTATGTGAAATATGCCAGGAGTAATTGAAATGAAGAGGAAAGCTTATACCTGGTATTTTTTTCCTCATAATGTAAACATTTTCATATTATAGCATTAGAGATGATAAATAATCCATATGCTTTATGTGTCTAATATGGATTTTTTTATTCCATGAAACTCCCAAAATGATTCTTATGTTTATATTCAGACTACCTAAAATTACAAACTCAAATAGTATTCTGAAAACATGATTGATAGACCTAGCTGGTTTGGCTCAATAGATAGAACATTGGCATGTGGACTAAAGGGTCCCTGGTTCTATTCCGATCAAGGGCATATGCCCAGATTGCGGGCTTGATCCCTAGTAGAGGGCATGCAAGAGGCAACCAATCAATGATTCTCTCTCATCATTGATGTTTCTATGTTTCTCCCCCTCTCCCTTCCTCTCTGAAATCAATAAAAATACATTAAAAATAATAAAAGGGCATCAGTTCGGGGTAAAACCCACATTTATTAGTGTATGAGTGTATGTGAGGGGTTAGTGGGTTCTAGGCTCCTCACACCAGGTTCAGTCACTGTTGGTCAACCCTGTGAAGCCTTCTGGTAAGCTTTGTTTGGGAAATAAGCTTCCAGTGCACACTGCCTGCCATGTAAGGACCAACAGACTTTTCTATATTTATCCAGAAATATTTCCAAGATTTGGATTATGGATTAAAATCAACTTTAAAAAATCTCCTTTCTTTTTGTTTGCTTGCTTTTTATGGATTAACTGAATAAAATTTGTGTTAATTAAGTATTCAGATTATTTGCAAGCTAAATTAACAAAAGAACCAGGAGCCATTCCTAGCCAGGGCATTAATTTCACTGTATGTTAGCAATGCAGTTTCTTATTAGTCAGCCTCACCATATGTGAGAAACATGTCACTGTAACTCCTAGTAACAGTGCAGTGAACTCTAGTAACCAAAAATTTTTATAGCCGATGACTTCACTAGACTTGTCTAGACAGCAGTTACTCTCTGAAATCATAGCATATTAAGACTGGAACAGACCTAACAAAGATACTGTAACTTAAATGGCCTAAATATTCTCTTTGCCATTGTAGGTGGGGGAGGAGGGGAAAGAAGGGGTTGTGGGGCAGTGAGACCAATGGCGTTATCCTGGAAAGTGGGCAACTAATAGGCATAAATATGTAAAGGGCCTAGACTTGACTTTGGATGAAGTATAAACAAGCAAAACTATTCTCTGGAATTTGAAATAAATTTGATGTCTGATTATGATTATCAAAATGGGAGACTCCCTGGTAGTTATACCTAGATAAAGTAATTTCAGTCAAATCCATAACTTTCAGGTTGGCTCCCTTGGCAAAGTAACATTAGCTTTAAAAAAATAATACTAGCATTCTGATTTTTGCTAATAAAATGCAGATGCTCTCAAAAATTCATTCAGCAGAGGGATTTGGACTAGGTCTGCATGTTTCCCTAACCTTCAGCCATTTTAGTCCTTGACAAAATAATTAGTCTAATAGAACAACTGATTGACAAACAAGTTTTTTTTTTCTTTTTTTCTTTTTTTCTTTTTTGAGTTTATTTATTTATTTATTTATTTTTTTAATATATTTTATTGATTTTTTTTTTTGCCCCCCTCCCTCCCTCCCACACATCCCCTCCCTCCCCAGAGTTTTGTGTCCATTGGTTGTACTTATATGCATGTATAAAAGTCCTTCGGTTGATCTATTATCTCCCCCAGATCTTCCTCCCCTCCCTGCTGTAATTTGACAGTCTACTTGTTGATATACTGTCTCTATATCCATCTTTTGGTTCATCAGTTTATAATGTTCTTTATCATCCACAAATGAGTGAGGTCATGTGGTGTTTTTCTTTCATTGATTGGCTTATTTCACTCAGCATGATGTTCTCCAATTCCATCCAGGTTGCTGCAAATGATGAGAATTCCTTTCTTTTTTATGGCAGCATAGTATTCCATTGTGTAAATGTACCATAGTTTTTTGATCCAATCATCTGCTGACGGGCACCTAGGCTGTTTCCAAATTCTGGCTATTGTAGATTTTGCTGCTATGAACATAGGGTGCATATATCCTTTCTGATTGGTGTTTCTAGTTTCTTGGGATATATTCCTAGAAGTGGGATTACTGGGTCAAATGGGAGTTCCATTTTCAGTTTTTTGAGGAAACTCCACACTGTTCTCCACAGTGGTTGCACCAGTCTGCATTCCCACCAGCAGTGCAAGAGGGTTCCTTTTTCTCCGCAACCTCGCCAACACTTGTTGTTTGTTGACTTGTTGATGTTGGCCATTCTGACAGGTGTGAGATGGTACCGCATTGTTGTTTTGATTTGCATCTCTCGGACAATTAGTGACTTTGAGCATGTTTTCATGTGCCTTTTGGCCTTCTTTCTGTCTTCTTTTAAAAATGTTCTATTTAGGTCCATTGCTCATTTTTTAATTGGATTATTCATCTTCCTTTTATTTAGTTGTATAAGCTGTTTGTAGATGTTGGAGATTAAACCTTTATCAGTGGTAACATTTGCAAATATGTTCTCCCACACAGTGGGCTTTCTTGTTGTTTTGTTGATGGTTTCTTTTGCTGTAAAAAAGCTTTTTATTTTGATGTAGTCCCATTTGTTTATTTTCTCTTTAGCTTCCATTGCCCTAGGGGTAGTATCAGTGAAGAAGTTCTTTTGGCATATGTCTGAGATTTTGTTGCCTGTGGATGCTTCTAGTATTTTTATGGTTTCCTGTCTGATGTTTAAGTCCTGTATCCATTTTGAGTTTATTTTTGTGAATGGTGTAAGTTGGTGATCTAGTTTCATTCTTTTGCATGTGTCTGTCCAATTTTCCCAACACCATTTATTGAAGAAACTGTCTTGACTCTATTGTATATTCGTGCCTCCTTTGTCAAATATTAATTGAGCATAGTGATTTGGGTTGATATCTGGGTTCTCGATTCAATTCCATTGATCTATATGTCTGTTCTTGTGCCAGTACCAGGCTGTTTTGAGAACAGTGGCTTTGTAATATAGGACAAACAAGTTTTTAACTGATTGTTTTGCTCTCCTGGCTACTGACCTAAAAGTGCCAGCTATGATTTAATGTAGAGTTTGAACTCAGTAATCCCACAGTTTTACTGGCCAGTGCCTGGCAAAGACCAGATGTACCTGCTAGTGCAGAGGAGTCCAATGACTTTGATTGATAGAGATTTGGTCTGAATCCCTAAGATAAAAATAGCCTTGTCTCTGAGTAAGTGCCTTGAGAGGCTTTTCTAAGATTTGGGCATTTAAACAATTGTTAAGAATGGGACATTCTACATAAGTGTCCTGATAAGAAATATTAGCTGAGCTTCTCATTAACTTTGTGAATGTGAGGAAGTGTCTTTCACCTGTAAGACTTTCTTCAGAGAAAGAACACTTAATTTCCTGATGATTTTGACTTATTAGCAATTAACGTAAAGTGCTTTGTATTTGGTGAAATGTTTTCATGTGAAGTATACTTTGCTCTGATCCTGAGACTAAGGGAATAACTCTTGTCTCTCCCTCTGACTGGCATATTTCTGCAGGAAGCTGCCCTCTGTAGACAGCTCCCCATGGAAGCCGAGACTCTGGCCACGGTTCAGGCTGCTGTTAACCCCCCCGCCATGACTCCAGACATGAGATCCATCACTAATAATAACTCAGATCCTTTCCTCAATGGGTAAGTTAATATTCAGGGAACACTTATTTTTGCTTTCTTTATTTTGTGATCTAGACTATGGTGGTGGTTGTGTGGGAAACAGTGGGGAGCTTGGAGGCTAGAGTGAGGATAGAGGCAGCAAGTAGTGGCAGAAAAAATAAAAGCAGAGGAAGTTAACTACTTTTCTTTTTTAATCTCAAATTTAAAAATTGGTGATATGACGTGGACTGAAACCCTAGTCAATAATTTAAAAATGGGAATGAACTTATTTCAGTGGGATGGTGTTGCACAGTAATTATTTGGAAAAATCTTGTGGTTTGATGTAGCTAGTAAGGGGGCGAGGGGAAGCCTGCCATGTGGCAAATGAAGAACTTAACAGTTAAGAAATTATGTTTATGGTGAAATGTGAGTAAGGTCTGTAGTTCAGTTAATAGTGTTATATGATGTCAGTTTCCTGGTTTTGATCCTTGTCCTGTGGTTACGTAAGTGTCTTTGGGGAGGCAGGGGAAGAGTGCATGAGGATCTGTTCCTTTTGCATCTCCTATGTGATTCTAAAATTACTTTACAATAAAATTAATTTTTAAAAAAAGAGATGATGTTTTAAAATAGAAAACCTAAGAGCAGATGGAAAAGATAATTTAGTCAAGAATATCTTCATGAGCAGAAGTAGTTAACCTTAGTTTCTTAAACTCAAATAAAGGTTAGGGTTTTATTTCCTGTGCCTTTTCTGTCCTTCCAGAAGATACCGGCAAACAAATATAATTATGAATGTTATAAAAAATAGAAAGAGGTGAAAACAACAGTAGCTAAAATAATGAAGGAAAGTTTTTAAAGTATTGATTTTAAAGTATTTCAAATGTTCAAAAAAATATAAAGAACAATGTCAGACTCTCCATGTACCCCAAACCCAGATTTCCCATATTTTTATATATTTAATTTTTGAGGTGCAGGCCAGGCCAAGGGATCCCACCAGTACAGGATTGGGGCCGGGAATGTACGCAGGAGGGCTCTAGGGAGTGTCCAGCCCATCTCCCTCAGTTCCAATGGACTGGACCCCAGCACCAAACTACCTATTGGTCAGAGCATCTACCCTCTGGTGGTCAGTGCACATCATAGCAACTGGTCAACCAGTTGACTGTCTGCCCCCTAGTGGTCAGTGCAGGTCATAGCGAGCAGTTGAGCAGCCTTAGCATATCATTAGCATATTATATTTTGATTGGTTGAATGGCTGACCAGACATAGCGTATTGGGCTTTTATTATATAGAATATGTAGAGTAATGCTTTTATTATATAGAATATGTAGAGTAACAGTAAAAAATTACCGTTTTAAGATGAAAAGGAAATCAATTTACTATGAACAGTCAATTTTATTTGCTTATAATTTATTAACTTCATGGATATTGGGATGTATGTTTCAAAAAAATTAAAAGGAGCTACAAATTATGCCTCTCTTCATTACTTGGAAAGTTGGACCAAATGACAGAATTACACTAGGTTAGGTTTTTATTTGCTTATAATTTATTAACTTCATGGATATTAGGATGTATGTTTCAAAAAAATTAAAAGGAGCTACAAATTATGCCTCTCTTCATTACTTGGAAAGTTGGACCAAATGACAAAATTACACTAGGTTAGGTTTTTATGACTGTACTTTAATTTGGAGATTTCTGTAGTGGGCTCACCTTGACGTTCCTCCACTTTTTCTCTCCAGAGGGCCATATCATTCGAGGGAACAGAGCACCGACAGCGGCCTGGGGCTAGGGTGCTACAGTGTCCCCACAACCCCGGAGGACTTCCTCAGCAACGTGGATGAGATGGACACAGGTAGAAGCAAAGCCTGCAAGTACCTGTATTGAGTTTGCATTTTCAAATCATCTTTATAGTCATCTCCATTCTGGAATCCAACCAGAAACACTTAATCTCAACAAAGCACTTTTAAAAAAATATTTTTAATACGTTTTTTAAATTGATATCAGAGAGAGGAAAGAAGAGGGAGAGAGGGATAGAAACATAAATGATGGAAGAGAATCATTGATCAGCTGCCTCCTGCACTCCCTTTACTGTGGATGGAGCCCGCATCCTGGAAAGGTGCCCTCACCAGAAATCAAACCATAATCTCCTGGTTCATGTGTTGATGCTCAACCACTGAGCCATGCCAGCTGGGCCCCAAGCACTATTAATAAATTCTATCCCCCACCCCAATAGTTTATACAAATATAGTTTTTTATATGGCACCAGATTTTCAATTCTTCCTCTCTCTCTCTCTCCCTCCCTCCCTCCCTCCCTCCCTCCCTCCCTCCCTCCCTCTCTCTCTCTCTCTCTCTCTCTCTCTCTCTCTCTCTCTCTCTCTCTCTCTCTCTCTCTCTCGTTTGCTGTTCTTGCTACACATAGCCCTTTCCTCACCATCATATCAGAACACCACTGTCTGCTTGTCATTCTTATCCAGTGAAATAGTGATGTGTTTGGTCCTTAGTTATAACAAATAAGCCACTTTCTCTCTTGAGAAAATACTGGCTTATAGTTATACCAGCATTGCATTTGGAGGGCAGTTGGCTGTGGGCATTTGGACAGGTAAGCAACTCAGAGGATTCTTAATTGTCAGCTCCAAATCACAATTAAAATGAAGAGTTGGGTGACTTCACCCTGATCCCCAGCCTGCAGGCCAGTCCTCTGCTGGCTTCCCAGTTACCTCTCCTTTCCTCGTCTATTCAAGGAGTAAGGCCTTCAGTTTGAAAAATTGAATTTGGACATATTAGCCAAATCTAGACTTAATTATCAAAATCCTAAACTCCAAGAGATATCTAGAATAAAAAATAAAAGATAGTAGAGGTGTCCACTATTTGGAGTTTTTAGACAGGTTTCTCCTTTATTCTGATGACTGATAGAAAAGGAATTGTTCTGTGGTGAAAATAATTGGTTTTCCCACTGCTGTTGTCCACAGTGCTGTGTTTGTCACACTCCGCTTGTTGAAGTCTGCTCTTCCTATCTGACTCTGAATTATTGGTTAGCCAAGAGACAGACTTGCCAGGAGTGTGGGCGCAGGGAGGATGCCCAGGTCTCCAGCAAGTGTCATGTGAATGTTTAGAGGGTTGTGTAGCTGTATTGTGAGAAGTCACACAGGAATAGTTTGACCTGTTTGTTTTGTTATATTTTAATTTATTACTTCAGCTTTCTCCCTGCTAGCCTATCTCTCTCTCTCTCTCTCTCTCTCTCTCTCTCTCTCTCCCCTTCCCCCTTCATCTTTCTCTCCTTTTCATTGTGAGATTTATTTGCCCTCTTTGGAGTGACTCCTTCCTATCTATAATAATAAAAGGGTAATATACTTATTAGACCAGATGTCTTCTGGGTGTCATTCTGGATGTCCTTGAAAGAGCCGGGGCTGGAGGGAAGCCAGCCTGGGTCCCAGGTGCCTGCCGCAGCACCAGGAGGCAGCCCAGGTTCCAGGTGCCTGCCAGTGGCCAGAGGAGGGAAGCCCAGGTTTCCGGTGCTGGAGGAAAGAGTGCTGGCAGCTAGGAGAGGGAAGGCCTACTCTTGCACAAATTTTCACGCATCAGGCCTCTAGTGTTTAATAATTGTTTGCTTCATCTTTTAAACACTGGGAAGCCAGTAAAGATAAAGGCAAAGTTAAATAAGAAAAGACTAAGGAGACCTAAATCTAAGCTTGACATTAAAAAAAAAAGTTGAATTCTACTCTATAGCTTTTAAAAATAGATGAAGTCTATTCTATGGCTTTTTAAAATTGAGAATGTGGAATTAAGTGGTATCCTGAAAAAAGCAGTCTTTGCAGACAGGCAACTGAAGTTGAGTTCTTGCTTCCCACTTCCTGCCAATGACTTTGGGTGAGTGCTGTCACCTCCCTGCACCTCAGATTCCTCACCTGTAAAGTGGGACCCCTGTGCTCACTTCTTAGAGCTGTAAGGAATCATGAAACCAAAGAGCTTGGCCTCCTTCTAAGAAGGCTGAGGTAAGGTTCCAAAGGAACTTGATAAATGGTAGGGCTCCAGGGTACACTGGTTAGGTGACTGTCAGCCCAGGGACTTGCGACGCACTTCTCTGAAGGCTTTATATGAAATGAGGTAAGCCCTCTCAGGGGAGGAATATAATTACCCATAACAAGATAAGGGGAGGCTGAGGGTGTGTGGAGCTCCAGTGTAGCTAGAAAGGTCAGTTAGATCCACTGACCATATGCAGAATGGGAGTGAGCCAGCCGAGTAGTCTCCTTGTGAAAGGCACACAAAACCACAGCTAAGTGTATAGAGCAAAGCCTGGGAAGTAACTTATCCTTCCAGAATATTTTGAAATAATCACACCCTTTTAAGAACTGCCTGATTTTTGTCTCTCCACTTTTTAAATGGATAAAACTGCAAAAACCAAAAAGATTATGAGATTACAAAGTTGCTCCAAAGATAAATAATTTAAAATTGTTAACCTCAACAAAGAACCTTAACTAGTTTCCTCATGCCTTTCATGTCTGAGGAGAAAGGATAAGAGGAATTATGTAAAAGAGAGCTTTTAGTTGGCTAAAACAATGTATTCTCCAGTTATTAGAAAGTATTAAAATGGGAAATCAATAGAGATAAATGATTCTAATCGGTGATGAAGAAAAAAAGGTTAGCAACTTAGATCATTCTTCAAGGCAGGTAACTTTTTTGGACCTCACTTCCAATCTGTTATATCGTAGTGGCTGAAAAATTATTTTGGATTTTCTTTTCTATTTTGATGTTTTTCAATATGTGGTTGCACTTGATTTAATTTTTCATTGTATTTTGCAATGAAAATCCTATAAAATATTGCCAAGAAGCATTGATATTTTATGAGAAAAGACATGAAGCTTTGCTATCACCCAAATAAAGTTGAATTATGTTTCCCTCATTACTAGGAAGGATATATTTTTTTCTCCCTGGAAAACATTTAATTCATATGCTTAAAATGAATTTTTTGCATTTTTAGTCAGAATAGTGAATTTCTTAGCAGTGACTACTGCACTTTATGACACAAAAGCTAATGTAATGAGTTTCGTAAAAAAGATGCTGTGGTGGGAGTGGGCCTCAGTTATCAGTGTTTCTCAATTTTGAAGTATATTATATTCCTTCAGAAAATTGTTTGGGGCTATTTACATTAACTAGTTGTTCTAATATTCTGTATTCAACGGTGATTGAATTCTAAGGTTTTTCTTTCTTTAAGCACAATTGACAAACTTTTATTGTATTTTTGTATTTATTATATTTTTGTATGTATATGAGTTTGTGTGAATAGTACCCAGAGCCATGGGTGCTTTACTCCATTTTGTGAAGATGACGCTATAATATCAACTTCATATGGGTAAACAGGGCCAGACATCTCATACATATGTATGTCTAGGGCCACACAGTTAAAAAGGTCAGTCTCTGGACACAAGGTCAGTACATTTTCTCTTACACTATTATTCATAAAGAACATGAATTCCTCATGTCAAGCCCCAGTCACTTAATTTTATTGTAGAACAGCATTTTCTCAACGTAATCTGTTTCTGTGTAGGCATAGCGCAGGTGAAGATGAGAGTCATGTCTCTGTAAACTCTAGTTCTATCAGGATATAAGTTCTGCCAAAATTGGGTTAGGCGATTACATGAGCTTAGGTAACAGTGGCTGAAACAAAATAAAGCAGACTTCTTCACAGCAAGACATCTCAGAACCTTCCTGAGCTCACAGGCATTGTGACCCTCCTGCATTGTGAGAAAGGCAGATGTTGTGGGGGGTGGAGTGGAGGGAGGGGCATAGTCTGCAGAACCCACTTTATAAAATGCTTTGACATTGATCCCTAGTGCCTTCAATGAAGACAGCCTTTTAATAACACCATTAAAAGGAACTCCTCACTATTATCTTTGAACATAAGAGGGATGATATGGGTACATATAAGCTTACAATTAAATCCTGAAATTATTGCCCTGAGATAAGGCATTTCTTACAGGCAAGGCCTCTCCACTCTTTTACAAAACAGCTCTTTATGCTACTGTCTCGGAAGAAGACACAGGTCATAGGTCAGACCCCCAGGGCCTTCATCTGTGCCTACCCTCTCCCAGGACTTGTTCCTCTGGCCCATGTCTACCCAGGACAGTTGCGGATTCCCCTGGCACTTCTGCATGTCCCAGGGACGAGCATCACCAGCTCAGAGTCAGTGTAGTAGCTGAAATTTTGCCCAGAGATGAAATATTTTATACCCATAGCAACGTAATCTGTTTCCGCGTAGGCATAGCACAGGTGAAGACAAGAGTTATGTTCACATTTGAATTGACCCTCTTTCAAGAACCTGAAAAAGGAGTGAAAATGTTTTCTTCTCATTCTGTTGCAGGGGAAAACGCAGGGCAGACACCCATGAACATCAATCCTCAGCAGACCCGTTTCCCTGATTTTCTGGACTGTCTCCCAGGAACCAATGTGGACCTCGGAACTCTGGAATCTGAAGATCTTATCCCCCTCTTCAATGATGTAGAGTCTGCTCTGAACAAAAGCGAGCCCTTTCTGACCTGGCTGTAGACAGTAGATGGTAACCTGTGTGCAGCCATGACCTGACATTTCCTGGGCCTCTTGGGAAAAGCGGTGGAGCTGAGCAAGTCTGCAGGTGAACTGCTTTCTGCCCCCATGACTCATGCTCCCTCCTTTCTATGTGGCCAGTTTAATCATTGCCTGGATTTGATTGACAGTAAACTAAGTTAAACATAAATAAATATTCTATTTTTGTTTTCTGCAAGCCTGCATTCCTGTGGTGGGTTATGCAGAATTGTGTACCTGTTTTTCTCTCTGTAGCCCCATGACTAAGCTTTATGGGTGTTGAAATTTTTCATCAATTGATTATAAACCATCAAAAGATGACACAGGCAGTGATTTCTGACAGGTGGCTCGGTCCAGGAAATGTATCCCAAATGAGACCTGATTTACTGTTTTAAAACTATTGATGACAATAGTACTAAGTCCTTTAAATATTTACCTGAACTTTAAACATCATCATATGGATAGTAAAATTTTGCTGTATGGAATGCCATGTAGTGCTGAATCCATGCTGGTTCTGATGACTCTTTTTACTCTGTATTTACAAAGGCACACATGGTGTGCCTCTTGTAGTTTATGCTCCATCATTTTGGGCATAGTATGTGCATAGCTAGTCCTTCCAGGGGAGAGCAGCAGCAGCATGCCATAGTCCCTACACTGCGGATCTTATGAATGATACCCGTTTGCTACTAATTATGACCATTTGATAAACAAAACATTTAAAATTACAAGTTATATTTTTAAAATATTGCTGCTTAGAAATTGATGTTTATTTTATGAAGCACTATATTTTGTAGCTGATGACAAAGGGCAGGCAAATATTTTTGATGAATCAGTGGCAACTGTATTTTTGTCTTTTGAAATTGTTCTGAAAACATCAGGACACATAGCTTTCAGTCCAATGGCACACACAGCAAGATATTGCTTTTTAAATTCTGAAGCCTTGTCAGTTTTGCTTTTAAGATTTCAAGTTTTAAAATAGTCTTATCTATGAAACTGTTTGAAGGATGAAGCAGATCTTTGACTGACATTTTAAAATATGCCCTCTAGATGGTGTATGGTGGAGGCATATGCTTCTAAATTCAGTAAAAGTGATTCCTAAGTATATTATCTTAATCCTTTTGCTATAATTGGTATAAAAAGGCATGAAATATGTACTCAGTACCTCTTATGTAACCAAAAAATGTTTTTTTTTATTAGCTTTTAAGGACTGAGAGAGTGCATCAGATTCACCTGGCATGCACTCTGTCTGCCAATGAAGTCCTCTGTTTAGTATTTTCAACTGACGTTATTTATAATATGTATATGAATTTAATATCTTTTTAAAAAGACAGTAATTGAGGTCTCTGGGAGGAACCTTTCAATTCCCAAGGGGACTTATTCATTTGGGATCTTAATTGAGATCCTTTCAATCTATCAGAATATAGATGGGCAGAGTACCTTTTATCTTGTTGGAGAGAAAGCACGTGAAAAGGTCAGAGATGAAGTAGTAAAGTTATGGAATGTAGTGGAAAGGATACCAATTGTGAAATGAAAAACAAACTAGAGTACCCCAAAAGCAAGACAGGCAGAAGGTATGAGCAGTGCACTCCCAAAACAAAACAACAATTTTCAACTACAGCCTTTATACCCAAAGACTGTTGTAGAAGAAAAGAAGGCTTTAGTGCACTTTAGGTGGCGGGGGAGGGGCAGGGATGGAGCCCTGACAGTGCTGATGCTGAGCAGCAGGTGGACAGGGCATGAGCCTGCTGTGCTTCCTACACAACACAGTGATTTCTTTTTCCTGAAGGACCCGTGGTTTAAGTTCCTTTTATTTCTTCTCTCTCCAAGTGCTCCAAGAGAGATGGGGGTGATGTTTATGTTGCTACTAAATTGTAGGAAGCACTATTCCTTTTTCTCTTGGGTTAGCAATAATTGCAAAAAGAGTTGTATATTCTAAGAAAAAAAAAAACAAGGGACCTAACAAAGCTGAGCAGTGTTACTGTATTTTAAAAAAATATTTTTATAGATTCATTTTCAGGTTATTAAATGTAAAAGAAACAGATACCCCTCTTTTTTCCCTAAAGTAGTTAAAATATCAATGATTTATAATATCAATTTTTAGAAATAATTTCCTAATAAGCTTGTGGCATTAGAAAACACTAGAATTTTTTAAGTGAAATTAGTTAAAACATTTGTTAATAAACATAACAAATACTTTTTCAGAATTAAATATGGACTCTGACTATGAGCTTACTAATAGATAAAGCCAGATATAATTTTTTGTGTTTGTTATTAAGGCCATAAAATATGGCCTTTGTTAAAGAACACTAAAACTAGAAATCTATGTAAGAATAGCTTTTTAAAGGCTACTTCCTATTATTGTGAGTGTTAAAAACTCTGCAGGATCATGATAAGGTGCTATTTATACTGTTTTTCTTATTAGAAAACAACCGCCAGAATATCTAGTCTTTTTAGTTCTACATCAATCAACTTCAACATTTCATTCAGTTTTGCCATAGAAAAGGCATATTAAAATTGAAATAGGAAAATAATTTCATATATCTTTCTTTTTAGATACCCCTTCCCCCGCCATTAAACACATTTTTTTGAAGTAAATACATTGTTAAAACCTATTTGCAACTCTATTCAATCTAAGTAATTCCTAGTGTTTCACCTTAGTATTTAGGAGGTGAAATTGCCATCTTTCTCTGATTACACAGTGTACCAGGAGCACGTAAAACGGGGGGGAAAAAGACAGTGTGCCAATGGGCTATTCCCAGGGTGGCAGAGAAGCTCTCAGTAGAAGAAGGTGTTCTGTGTGATAGGAGTGTTGCTAATTACGAGTTCTTGTCTCATGATATAATTAGGAAGTAACTTCTGAAAGTACAACTTCTATGAAATAAAATAAATTGTAGATTAGTTTAATTGGGAAAATGGACCATTAACAGACCATTTCCCTAACACACTACATCATTTCTGTGCTAGTACTTTAACTTTTTAAAAAATTTACTTCTACATTTTATAATGTGTTTATTTTTAATTTAGAATGCTATGTGTACAGAGAGTATGCAGCCAAACCAGGCAGATCAAACCATTTTACCTGGACTTTGGTACTGGTTTTTACTTCTCTGATTCTGTAAAAGAAAAATAAATACAGTTGAGTTTCCACATGGAGCCTTTGTCTTTTTATTATTTGTGTGTATTCCTTTTACTGAGAACTTTGGGTGGTAATGTACTAAAGAGAGGCTTATGCAACCCTCCTGGCAGAGAATGAAAGAAAGAAAATTTTGTAGGCAAATATTTTTTTTGCTCAAATGCTTGTTTTTGAATATTCTAAGTATCCTTTAGGATTTTTTTCCCCTCAGAAACCTCCCATTTGGGTGGCATTGATTTTATTTTATTTAAACATTTATTTATTTATTTATTTATTTATTTATTTAAATTTAATAAATCTTTATTGTTCATATTATTACAATTGTTCCTCTTTTCCCCCCCCCATAGCTCCCCTCCACCAGGTTCCTACCCCCCCCCTGCCCTAACCCCCCCCCCCCCCCACACACACACACACACTATCCTCATCCATGGGTGCACTCTTTTTATTCAGTCTCTTCCTGCACCCCCACTCCCCTTTTCCCCCCAGAATTGTCAGTCCACTCTCTTTTTATGCCCCTGATTCTATTATGTTCACCAATTAATACTGTTAATCAGATTTTTTATTCCCTTGGTTTTTAGATTCAGTTGTTGATAGATACAAATTTGTTGTTCATAATTTTTATCTTTATCTTTTTCTTCTTCTTCCTCTTCTTAAAAAATACTTTTCAGCATTTCGTATAATACTGGTTTGGTGGTGATGAATTCCTTTAGCTTTTCCTTGTCTGTAAAGCTCTTAATCTGACCTTCAATTCTGAATGACAGCTTTGGTGGGTAGAGTATTCTTGGTTGTAGGTTTTTGCTATTCATCACTTAAATCACACATGTCAAACACAAGGCCCGCGGGCCAAATCCGGCCCGCCAGGCCTTGCAATGTGGCCCGCACCGCGCTGTCATCACTGCACTCCGCTGTGTTCCATCACAATGACGCGCGGTGACATAGGAGGCTTGTGATCTCACCGGCCGCCTCGCCGGCCACCGTACTTGCTATCTATTACGCATGTGCATAGATAACAAGTCACACGAGATTCAGGAGGCGTGACCTATAGTCCGGCATCCGATGTGGTTGTGCGGGTGGCAGAGCAGAGGAGAGAGTGAGTGTGCGGGCATAAAAAATACACAGCAGAAGCTGCCAGTTCCTGGCATAAAGTGCAGGCATAAAAATCACAACAGAATCTGCTATCTGTACCCAGCCAGGCATTTATTGACTGACTTTTTTTTTCTCCACTCCATCTGCCAAATCAAGCTATGCCTGTGCAGTTTTCAACTTTTTCCTTCTAACGCAGATTTCCAATAAGCTACATCTTTTACTGCCAATATTGATCCCAAAATGTCCAGGAAAAGAAAAGTTGACGGTGAAGGCAGACAATTTAATGACAAATGGGAAAATGAATACATGTTTGTGCTTAGAGAGGGCAAACCAGTGTGTATATTGTGTTCTGAGACAGTGTCGGTGATGAAAGAGTACAATATATGTCGTCATTTTGACACCAAACATAATGTTAAGTATGGCAAATATACTTTGGAAGAAAAGCATAAAATTGTTAAAGAACTAAAACGCAAACTACAATCACAGCAGCAAATGTTTACAAAGGCTACAGCAAAAAATGATGCTGCAGTGAAAGCAAGCTTTATAGTGGCTGAAGAAATTGCCCGTACTTCAAGGTGTTTTTCAGAGGGTGCCTTTTTGAAGCAATGTATGCTAAAAGTGTGAGCAAGTATGCCCAGACCAGATACAGAGTTTTCAAAATGTCAGTTTGTCAAGAAACACCATTGCACATAGAGTTCAAGAACTCTCAGGAAATCTATCATCACAGCTGGCTGAACAGGCATGCAGTTATCTCGCTTTTTCACTTGCTATCGATGAAAGCACAGACAACACTGATACAGCGCAGCTGTCCATCTTTATACGTGCTACGAAGACCAACCTCTCTGTCACTGAGGAACTTTTGGATGTAGCTGCCATGCATGGGACGACGACTGGTAGAGATATATTTGAGGCTGTGGAGAAATCTATAAATAATTTTAAATTACCCTGGGAAAAGTTGGTGGGGCTAACTACCGATGGCGCACCTTCAATCTGCAGAGAAAAGAAAGGCTTGGTTGGACTAATGAAGGAAAGAATGCAAAAAAGTCACTGCCACACACTCTTGATTACTTATCATTGCATTATCCACCAAGAGGCTATGTGTGGAAAAGTTCTGGACATGAATGACATAATGACCACAGTCATTAAAACTATTAACTTTATACGGGCACGTGGCCTGAATCATCGTCAGTTTCAGCAGTTTTTACAGGAGGTGGGTGCAGAGCATGGAGACGTGCCATACCACACAGAAGTAAGATGGCTGAGCAAGAGCGCAGTCCTCAAAAGATTTTTTGAGCTCAGAGAACAAATTGCTCTTTTCATGGAAAGTAAAGGAAAGCCCTTGCCTGAACTGTCGGATCCCGCCTGGCTATGTGATTTTGCTATGATGTGTGACATATGCGAGCATCTCGCCCAACTGAATCTGAAGCTGCAGGAACGCAAACAAGTCATCACGAAGATGTCTGACATGATCACAGCATTCCAGCGTAAACTTCAACTATGGAAGTCCCAACTGGAACAGGACAATCTTGCCCACTTTCCCATTTGTTTGAGTATCTCAACCACTATTTCTGGTACTTTTCCTTGCAGTTGGCTGGCTACCAAAGTTAGCCGTTTACTAAGTGAATTTGAGCGGCGCTTCTCTGACTTTAGAACACAGCACTCAGGCTTTGACATCTTTGCCAATCCTTTTACAGTTGATGTCAACAATGTGCCCCATCACCTTCAGATGGAGATAATCGAGCTTCAGTCTGACAGTGGCCTGAAATCAAGGTTTCAGGATGTTGAAATTGAGGACTTCTACCCTCTACTGCCCCCTGACTCAATGCCAGAGCTCCGACTTCATGCTGCCCGTATTCTGTCCATGTTCGGGAGCACCTATCTTTGTGAACAGATGTTTTCAATAATGAATCTGAACAAAAACAAGCACAGATCACGCATTACCAATGACAACCTCCATGCTGTTTTGCGGGTTGCTACAGCCCAAAAAATAAAACCGAACATTGACTCATTGATCCGGGGAAAACGGTGTCAGATATCTAGCCAGAAAACAAAACAGTGAGCATTTTAGGTACATTCCAATATTACTGTTTTGCTTGATACCAATATTACTGTTTTGCTTGATAGCATGTGAGTTGGTTAACAGCACTGTTAAGGAAAAGATTGTTCCACTCATTTTAAATTCACATTTCTGGTTAACATTGTCAGTTTATGACTGTTCAGTAAACCATTCGGCCCGTGATTTAGGCTGGATTTTAGATTTTGGCCCCTTCTCTGATTGAGTTCGACACCCCTGACTTAAATATTTCTTGCCACTCCTTTCTGGCCTGCATAGTTTCTGTTGAGAAATCAGCTTATGGGTGCTCCCTTGTAGGTAGCTAACTGTTTTTCTCTTGCTACTTTTAATATTCTCTCTTTGTCTTTTGCTCTTGGCATTTTAATTATGATATATTTTGGTGTGGTCCTCTTTGGATTCCTTTTGTTTAGGGTTCTGTGCACTTCCTAGACTTGAAAGTCTATTTCTTTCACCAGGTAGGGGAAGTTTTCTGTCACTATTTCTTCAAATAGGTTTTCAGTATCTTGCTCTCTCTCTTCTTCTGGTACCCCCATAATTCTGATGTTGGTACACTTGAAGTTGTCCCAGAGGTTTCTTACACTATCTTCAACTTTTTGGATTCTTTTTTCTTTTTGACTTTTGGTTTGAGTGTTTTTTGCTTCTTGGTATTCCAAATCTTTGACTTGATTCTTGTGATCCTCTAGTCTGCTTTTAGATCTCTGTATAACTTTTTTATTTCAGTCAGTGCATGATTAATATCTAGTTGCTCTTTTTTCATATCTTGAGGGTCTTAGTAAATTTATTGGCCTACTCTAGTAAATTCTTGAAAAACATTATAACCATGGTTTTGAACTCTATATCTAGTGTTTTACTTTCCTCCATTTTCTTCATTTGTGGCCTGTCTCTTTGTCTCTGCATTTTAGCTGCTTCCCTGAGTTGATGAAGTGGCTTTGTGTGCTAGGTGTCCTAGCAGGGCCCAGTAGCTCAGTCTCCCCAGTTACCTGAGATGGACACTCTTAGTGCACCTTTTTGTGGGCTGTGTGTGCAGTCTTGTTGTAGTTAAGCTTGACTGCTGTTGGCATCACTGAGGGGAGTTAACCTCCAGGCCAGTTGGCTGTGAGGATCAGCAGTGTTTCTGCTGTGGGAACTTCTGTGCTCAGCTTGGATGGGGTGGAGTCTCAGGGTAGAGCTGACAGCCTTGATTTCTCATCAGCCCCACCCTAAGAGGCCCCTGGGTCTCAGTGTCCCAAAGCAATGGCTGCACACACCTCTGAGAGAAGGCTGCTCTTGAGTTTTGCCCACTGCTAGGCAGTCCAGAATCTCCCTGAATGAGTCTGGTACCCAAAGTTTCACCCAGAACTGGATTTCAGTGCAATCGGGTTTTATTTCCCTCCAGAATGAGAAAGCTAACTGTGCGCTTGCTGCCCTCCCTCTCTGCATGCTGTGAGTAAGCCAGCTGTGTATTCAGCCACCCACCCTTTGTGCACATAGGTCTCTGCACTTCCTCTGAGCTCAGTGTCCTTTTCTCTTTCCTTCTAGTTGTAGAATTTCCACTCAGCCAGCTTTCTGGTGGTTCTGGACGATGTCTGCTCTGTCTTTCAGTTGCAGTTTTTAAATTGTTGTGTGAGGTAACAGTATAGGTGTTTACCTATGCTGACATCTTGGTTTCTCCCTCTGATTTTTAAAGATTGCATATGTATGTATGTATACTTTAAAACTTCTACTGTGCCCTAACTGGTTTGGCTCAGTGGATGGAGCATCGGCCTGTGGACTAAAAGGTCCCAGGTTCAATTCCAGTCAAAAGCATGTACCTTGGTTGCGAGCACATCCCCAGTAGGAGGTGTGCAAGATGCAGCTGATCAATGATTCTCTCTTACCAATGTTTCTAACTTTCTATCTCTCTTTCTTCCTCTCTGTAAAAAATCAATAAAATATGTTAAAATAAAAACAACATCTACTGTCCTTCCAGCATCCTTACAAATTTGACACACATCAGAAGTATAAGAATTTAGTTTTTCTTCTATTGTATACCAAGATATACAAAGTATGGTATACTTCCTTGTTGTCATACACTCTGTGCACTGGGTATGTGTTTTTCTCTGCCTGTTGAGTCCCTTGACTCACTGCTGTGACCCTTTTGTCACTGCACAGGAGCACTGGGGGAGCGCACTTGTGGCAGAGAGTATTTAAGCAGAAACATTCAGCTAAACAGCAGAGAGAAGAGATGCTAGTGGAAACATTACCCACATTCCAGGGTCTGTCTCATGCATTGTTTTAAAAACTATATTTCATCATTATTTGTAAGGCAACATGCTCATTGTTGAAAATGTTATAAATCACAACATGTATAATGTAAAACTGAAAGTTCTGTATCCCCTAAATCGCACATGAAAATTCAAAAGAACATTAGCTGCCGTAACTGGTTTGGCTCATCATAGCATCAGCCTGTGGACTGAAAGGTCCCGGGTTTGATTCCGGTCAAGGACATGTACCTGGGTTGCAGGCACATCCCCAGTAGGGGGTGTGCAAGAGGCAGCTGATCGATGACTCTCTCATTGATGTTTCTAACTCTCTATCCCTCTCCTTTCCTCTCTGTAAAAAAATCAATAAAATATATATTTTTTAAAAAGTACATTAGCTGAAACCGGTTTGGCTCAGTGGATAGAGTGTCAGCCTGCGGACTGAAAGGTCCCGGGTTCAATTACGGTCAAGGGCATGTACCTTGGTTGTGGGCACATCCCCAATAGGGGATGTGCAAGAGGCAGCTGATCAATGATTCTCTTACCGATGTTTCTAACTCTCTATCTCTCTTTCTTCCTCTCTATAAAAAATCAATAAAATATAAAATATATATATATAAAATAAAATAAATAAAAAGTACATTAGATGCTTTATCTATACGTGAGATTTTTTTTTTTTAGTAAATGGAATTTGTACTTGCTGTTTAGAAGCTTTCATTTTTTTCTCTTAATAACAATGATATTACTACTACCTATTGAGCATATACTATGTGCCAGAAGCTATGTAAAACAGTAGCTATAATCTAATTTAATATGCACAGCAACATTACTATTGTTACAGAATTTACCAGGTGACTGAAAAAATATGTAGAAGTACCAGAGGTACAAGAAAAACCCATTTAGTTCCAAACATTTCACATGTACTGGTACAGGACTCAGGGGAGACTGTTTCGAATCCTGAGTCCCAACATGAAGGAGGCTTTCCCTTTTTATAGTTTCTCAGTCTCTTTGTCTCCCAAATATGGAATATACTTCCAGACCTTTTGCAGGCTTTGCAAAAAGACCTAGGTGTTGGGGCCTTGAGACCACAACTAAAGGGCTGGTTTGATGCCAGCACTGATAACTCCATCTGGGGATGGCTTATGGCCTCTAAAATGGGGGTAGTATTTTGGGTAAATGGGTCTTACAGAATCAAATAATCAAAGGGCCAGTGACTAGATTCAGATTGCTAACTCCCTCCCCCCCAATGTCTCATTTTCCCTATCACTACTATTTTAATGATATTATCCTCAATTTTCAGAAGAATAAATTGAGTATTGGAGAGGTTATGTAATTTGTGTAAGGTCACACAATAAGCAACAGATTATCCCATACCTTCTGGTCATCTTTTCATGCCAGTACATATATTTGTATACTTCATTATTTTTTTTAAATATATATATATATATATATATATATATATATATATATATATATATATATATATATATTATATTTATTGATATTTTACAGAGAGGAAGGGAGAGAGAGAGAGAGAGCTAGAAATGTCGATGAGAGAGAAACATCGACCAGCTGCCTCTTGCACACCCCCTACTGGGGATGTGCCCGCAACCAAGGTACATGCCCTTGAATGGAATCGAACCCAGGACCTTTCAGTCCGCAGACCGACGCTCTACCATTGAGCCAAACCGGTTTCGGCTATACTTCATTATTTTTATCAACAAATAATATTTTATTTGTATGGATGTCCCTTATTGATAGCCAGGTGGTAGCTACAAATAGTGCTTTAGAAAATGGCATATTCTTGTGTGAATATGGTTGGAGGATAAGTAACTTAATAGGAAAGAAATTACTACATCAACAAAAGATATGTGATTTTAAATATTGATAAGTTCTGCCAAATATTTTTTACAAAGGACCTACCCATCTCTACTTTGAGCAACAATATATACAAAAGCCTGTTTCACCATTGCCAACCTAAAGCTGGATAATGCCTAACTTTTTAACATCATTTAAAAATTTTTTAACTACAATTGACAAAATATTATATTAGTTTCAGGTGTACAACCCAGTGATTAGACATTATAAAACTTACTGATAAATCTCAAACCCTTCTGACACTATACATAGTTATTAGAGTACTAGAGGCCCGGTGCATGGAATTTGTGAATGGGGTGGGAGGCAGGGTATCCCTCAGCCCAGCCTGTACCCTCTCCAATCTGGGACATCCCTCTCACAATCCGGGACTGCTGGCTCCCAACTGCTCGCCTGCCTGCCAGCCTGATTACCCCCTAACCACTCCCCTGCCAGCCTGATTGACACCTAACTGCAACCCTGCTGACCTGATAGCCCCCAACTGCCCTCCCCCGCAGGCCTGGTTCTCCTTGACTGCCCTTCCCTGCTGGCCTGATTGCCCACAATTACCCTCCCCTGTGGGCCATCTTATGGTGGCCATCTTTGACCATATGGGGGCAGACATCCTGTGTGAGCGAGTGAGGGTCAATTTGCATATCACCTCTTTCTTATATAGGATAATTGACTATATTCCCTATACTGTATTTTGAAATCCCCTTGACTATTCTGTAACTACCAATTTGTACTTTTAAAAATAGAGATGAAAGAAAGAAAGAAAGAAAGAAAGAAAGAAAGAAAGAAAGAAAGAAAGAAAGAAAGAAAAAGAAAGATTGATTTTGGAGAAAAATAGATAGAAACATCAATGATGAGAGAGAATCATTGATCGACTGCCTTCTGCATACCCCCTTCTGGGGATCGAGGCCACAACCTGGGCATGTGCCCTTGGCCAGAATTGAACCTGGGACCCCTCAGTCTGCAGGCCAACAAGGCTCTATCCACCGAGCCAAACCAACTAGGGCCCAATTTGCACTTCTTAATCCCTTCACCATTTCACCCATCCATTCCTCCTCCCATATGGTAACTGTCAATATGTTCTCTGTATCTATGAGTCTGTTTTTATTCTGCTTCTTTATTTTGTTCTTTAGCTTTAATTGTTGATAAATATGTATTTATTGCCATATCTTTGCCCTTTTCCCCCCTTCCCCGCCCCTTCTTGAAGATTCTTTAATTCATGTAATATTGGTTTGGTGGTAATGAACTCCTTTAGCTTTTCCTTGTCTTGGAAAGTCTTTATCTGACCTTTGATTCTAAATGAAAGCTTTGCTGGGTAGAGTAATCTTAGTTGTAGGTCTTTGCTTTCATCATTTTATTTCTTGCCTCTCCCTTCTAGCTTGTAAAGTTTCTGTTGAGAAATTAGCTAATAGTCTTATGGGAGCTTCCTTGTAGGTAATTAACTGCTTTTTTCTTTCTGCTTTTAAGATTCTCTCTTTGTCTTTAGACCTTGGCATTTTAATTATGATGTTTTTGACGTGTGCTTCTTTGGGACTTTCTGTACTTCCTTGACATGAGTGTCTGTTTTCTTCATCAGGTTAGGGAAGCTCTCCATCATTTTTCACATAGGTTTTCTTTTTCTTTCTTTTCTTAATTTGTTAATATTTTCATTAATTTATTAACATATATATAATTGGAAATTCAACATAAATGCCATTTATTCCAATGCCTTCTCACAGTAATCAGAAGATAGTCCCCTAAAACACATTGAAATTCATTTTATTTTATCTACTATGTGCATCCCTGAAACAATTGTATATATATCAAATATCATGCATGCATCAAAGGTCATTTATTTATGAATAGAGTTGGTTGCTGCTTACCAAATAGAAGGTGGGAGGAGTGTGAGGCAAGCTCCCATAGCTACCAAAATAGCATACCCACTGTTCAATATTTTTCCCATTTATTTGTTTTTTAAGTTGAAAGTTCCCCCTGCCTTTAAGTATGCAAGAAGCCTTGAAAGGGGTGATTTCTTCAGCCTATTAGCACAGCCTGGCATATAGTAGAGGTTAATGAAAATGTGTCAGCCTCTTAAAAGAGAGTCGTTGATGACCTGGTGTGTACCTGAGTATACCTAAAGAAGGTCACAATTCAGTAAAGGAAAGGTGTACTAATGAAAAACTAGATGCCTCCAAAACTATTTCCCCAGTTTCACCATTGTGCCGAGAATCTCTCCTAAAATGGCCATGCTCCCACTAGCTTTCTGTGGCCTAACATGTATTCTAGAATGAAGCACACAATATTGTGTGCAAAGGAAACACCATGCCCTGGAATACACCATTTGTTTCTTAGATGAAGTAGATGTGCTTTCTTCCATCTCCTTCCATCCATCACACTGAATTCAAAGGGAGCTTTTTAAAATTCAGATAGGATAATTTCATGCCTTGTTTTTGGAATCAAGTCCACAAGTCCCTGAGTGAGCCTGCAAAGCTCTTGGTGGCCTAATTTGTCCTGAATTCACCAGCTGCATCTCACATAAATCCCCTCACTCCTTATTTTTCAGTCTCTCATTTCTCTCAGTTTCTCAAGGCATCCTGTTTTACAGGTCCTTGCATTTGCAACTCTTTCTATCTGGAATTGTCTCCCCCACCCATGATTCTGCCATACTTATTCCTTAAACCTCAACTTAAATATTAGTTTCCTCAATGAAGACTTTCCTGACCTCATCAAAGTAGGTCAGAACCCTATTATATAGTATAACAATATTCTGTGCTTTTGTTCCATTTTCCAGTATCATATGAAAAAATCAATTAACTGTGTAATGGTTTAATATCTAGGATGGTCCCAATCTCTAGGAGGAACTGTGTCTATGGTATCTACTCTATATATTGGAACCTAGTGTTATGTCCAATAAATAATAGATTGTCAATAAATATTTTTTAAAATTTCTTTATGATTAAGGTATCACATATTTGTCCTCATCCTCCAATTCCCATCCCAAACCCCTCCCCATGCATGCCCCCACCCCCCTGTTGTCCATGACCACTGGTTAGGCTCATGTATGCACACAAGTCCTTTGGTTGATCTCTCCTCATATCCCCACCCTCCCCTACCTTCCCTCTGAGGTCCTACAGTCTTATCTATGCTTTCTTGTCTCCGGATATATTCTTGTTCATCAGCCTATGTTGTTCAACATTTCCCCTAGATGAGTGAGATCGTGTGCTATTAGACATATACTTACAAGAATCAAAAGTGAAACAAGCAATAATGGTTATACTGAGAGGCAAATGAATCAGTCTGTAGTGAGTTTCTTTCTGGGCCAACAGTTCTTTTGAGTTCCAATTTCAATGTCAAACAGTTCCTTATGTGTACATGTCAGCAATATTTCAGTTCTGGATGGTGGACAAGTGGTGGTAATTCAGGTCCGATCCTCTCTGGTTTGGTCCTGGGCAACCTGCAGTGAGGCACAGCTGCTGACTGCTAGTATGGCAAGGCATCGTCAGCATCTTCCATTGCTGGACTGTTTCTCTTCTGTCTTCATGGCTGGAGTAGGCTTGTCAATCCCTCTCTGTTGCAGAAATCCACATAGTCTCTGAGTTGTTTTCTGCAAATATACAAACATATTCTAGACCAAAATTTAATAAAGAAATATGTTCTATAAATTTGACTTGGGATCCTTTTTCATTTTTTGCCCTAACAATTTTCCTTTGGCTTGTTTTGACACCAAATGTGTTTTACATGAGTATCTTGCTATTAGCATTACAAATGAAAGTTAATTTTCTAAAGTAAAAATTTTCTATATGTAATTCACTTACAGGATATTTTTCCTTACATTATATTCTTCTACTACCCCCTTTTTTGATTTAAATATTAGGAGGCTTTTGGAAATTTTATAACGTAATCTTGATAGCTTTTAAATTTTAATTTTGTGCACTAAAAAATGACTGCTTTGGGTTCATTGTATCTTACTCAATTTTACCATGAGATGAACTACCAATAAAATTTTAGTTAACACTTTAGGAATAGCTTTTTGTCCAGTACAATTAATTTTTTTAGAATATTCGTTTATTTCAATTAGCCAATTTAAATTAGCCTGAAAACTTGACTACTATTTACTGTCAAATTTAATACTCTAACAACAATCTTATTTTACCCTGTAAATATTAGTGAAAAGGATTATTTTCCTTCTTTAGTAGGCACTGAGCATTCCTGGTGCTAGGCTGGATTTAGATATCAAAAACCTATTTCCCCACACCATAGGTACAAGACAACTCAAATAAGTCTTGTTGCAGTGAGAGGGCAGCTGCTGTTGGCCAAGTCTCTGTCTGTTACCTGGGTCCCAATTTGAGCTGGGCATGGGAAGATAAGCAGCCATGGGGGCAGGAGACCTCCCTCAGAAGGGGTGAGGGTTCAGGCTCCTGAAAAGTTGGGGGGGATGAGGGTCTGTGCCCTACCTCTGTTGACCCCCAAGTTCTATCCTCATGGCCCCTCTGCGACTATGCCTGTCTTAGGTTGTTCCTTCCCTGAGGAATCTTACCCATCTTGGCTAACCAGCCATCCTCCGGGGCCAAACAGGGTGATGTGAGGTTCAGTTCTGTCTCCTTAATAGCCTATGTCCCTGTAGCCTCCATGCCCAGCATCTGCCTTGGGATCCTTTCACCTGCTGGCAGGGCCCCAGCACTGATCACATATCTTGGGGAACCCAGGTTTCTTCTCCAGGGAGGGCCCAGTTTGCCTCACTGGGCGAAAGACAGATCCATGGTACCAGCCATCACGAGGCTTCACCTCGGCATGAACAGAAAGCTCAGGCAACAGCTGTGGACAATTGGATTGTGAGAAGAGGGTCCTTCTTGGCCAAAAGGGCAAGGAGGGCCAATATAGAATGCTCAGATGCCTTCCCAAGGGGGTCCTCTACACAATAGAAGGGATTAAATTCTTTCATGTCCTTTTTAAATTGCTGCCAGACATTAAAAAATTAAGTTTGTAAGTTTGTTTGTGATAATTATACATTATGCTGTTGTATTTCTAAAATATCAAAAGATGTGTTACCTTTGTCTCCAAGCACCAAAAAGATGATTTTTTTTTTTTGATTCCCAAGGGTGTGAGGTACTATTACAGGTAATGGAGGTAACACAAATCTGGGGGAAATGATAATGACCTTATAGAATAATATCATGTAAGGATATTCTTTGCTCTAGGCCATGGCAATTCCATTTCAAACTGGCTGTCAATTTCTTTTTGTATAGACAAGGTCTTAGTTACATTTCTGCACTTCTCCCAGGAGGAAGTAGTGATGGTCCCTTCCTTTGGTGTCCACACAAGCCAGAAACCTCTCTTGAATTTTATACACAAAGAGGCAATGGTTTGATTTTGTGTCATACAAAAGGGAAGCTGGATGGAGACCCCTGTGTAATTATACTTCCTTGCTTTACCCATGGTTTTCCTGAATGACCAAGGTGTTTGGTATTATTGGTGACTACATTAGGCGGGGGATCAGCCCACATAAGAGCTCTTACCCATGAAGGGTCAGGAACATAAGTCCAAAATACTTCCCTGTTTGCCCCAGGCAATATTACCATACAGCTGATGACTGCTAGCATGGCAAGAAAGATGTTTTTAGGCATTCTTGGGTTTCTGGTTACCTCACAATTTATTTTTTATTTATTTTTGTTTTTTTAATTATTATTATTATTATTTTTACATATGTATCTTTATCCCCCATTACCCTTCACCCCCCTCTCATGTAGGTTTTCAATTTCCTGCTCTCTTCTTCCAGCACCCTCATGATATGAATGTTGGTATGCTTGAAGTTGTCCCAGAGGCTCCTTACACTTGCCTCATTTTTGGATTCTTTTAAAAAGCATTTTTGCTCTTGGTGTTTTTTTTTTTGTTTGTTTGTTTGTTTTCTTGGTTTTTTTGCTTCCTTATATTCCAAAACACTGATTTGATTCTTGGCTTCATCTACTTTACTGTTGACTCCCTATAAATTTTTCATTTCAGTTAGTGTATTCTTCATTTCTGACTGGTTCTTTTTTATGGTTTCCATATCCTTTTCATGCTATTGAAGTTCTAAGTTCATGTATTCTTCCCCTAAGTTAGCTGAGCACCCTAATAACCAGTGTTTTGAACTCTGATTCTAACTGATTGCTTGTTTCCATTTTGTTTAGTATTTTTTCTAGTGTTTTATTTTGTTCTTTCATTAGGGATGTAGTTCTTTGTCTCCTCAGTTTGGCAGCCTCCCAGTATTTGTTTTTTTTTTTTTTAAATAAATCTTTATTGTTCAGATTATTACAAATGTGATCCTCTTCCCCCCCTCAATTGCTCCCCTTCACCAGGTTCCCACCCCACCCTCTGTCCTTTCCCCATCCCCCATTGTCCTCATCCATAGGTGCACAGTTTTTGTTCAGTCTCTTCCCGCACCCCCACAACCCTTTTCCCTGAGAATCGTCAGTCCACTCCCCTTCCATACCTCTGATTCTATTATATTCACCAGTTAATATTGTTCATCAGATTTTTAAATTCCCTTGGTTTTTAGATTCACTTGTTGATAGCTATGTATTTGTTGATCATAATTTTTATCTTTATCTTCTTCCTCTTCCTAAATAACCTCCTTCAGCAATTCATATAATTCTGGTTTGGTGGTGATGAACTCTTTTAGCTTTTTTTTATTTGTGAAGCTCTTTATCTGTCCTTTGATTCTGAGTGATAGCTTTGCTGGGTAGAGTATTTTTGGCTGTAGGTTCTTGTTATTCATCACCTTGAATATTTCTTGCCATTCCCGTCTGGCCTGCATGGTTTCTGTTGAGAAACCAGCTGACAATCTTATGGGTGCTCCTTTATAGGTCACTACCTGCTTTTCTCTTGCTGCTTTTAATATTCTCTCTTTGTCTTTTGCTCTTGGAATTTTAATTATGATATGTCTTGGTGTGGTCCTCCTTGGATTCCTTTTGTTTGGGGTTTTGTGGGCCTCCTGGACTTGTAAGTCTATTTCTTTCCCCAGGTGGGGGAAGTTTTCTGTCACTATTTCTTCTAGTACTCCTTCGGTATCTTGCTCTCTCTCTTCTGGAATCCCCATAATTCTGATGTTGGTTCACTTGAAATTGTCCCAGAGGTTTCTTACACTATCTTCAACTTTCTGGATTCTTTTATCTTCTCCCTTCTGCAGAGGAGTGTCCTCTGGCTCTTTGTGTTCTAAATCTTTGTCTTGATTCTTGCGATCTTCCAGTCTGTTTTTAGGACTTTGTATAATATTTTTTATTTCAGACAATGTTTTCTTCATTTCTTGTTGATCCCTTATTATTTCTAGTTGCTCCCTTTCCATATCCTCATAGGTCTCATTTATTTTATCGGCCTTTTTTAGGATATTGTTGAATAACCTTATAACTGTAGTTTTGAACTCAATGTCCAATCTTTTCTTTTCCTCCATCTCCTTCCTTTGTGTCCTTCTTCTTGTCTGCATTTTAGTTGTCTCCCTGATTTGATGGAATAGCTTTGTGTGCTAGGTGTTCTGGTAGAGCCCAGTAGCACAGCCTTCCCAGTTACCTGCAGTGGACAGTCTTGGTGTAGCCCTTTGTGGGCTGTGTGTGCAGTCTTGTTGTTAAGCCTTGCTTATTGTTGGTATCACTGGGAAGCGTTGATCTCCAAGCCAATTGGCTGTGAGGATCAGCAGTGTCTCAGCTAGGAGGGTTTCTGTACTCTGCTTGAATAGGGCGAGGTCTCAGGGTGACGCAGACAATCTTTGGTTCCCTGTCAGTCTTGCCTTAGAAAAGTCCTGTTTGTGCCCAGTATTTGTTTTTATATATTAGGTAGACTGAGCTCAATAGAGTGGCCTAATGTATGTATATTTGTTAGAGAGTAAAAATATTAGAACATGCTTCCAGAGAGGCCGTGGACTGTGCCCCAGAAAAATTATCAGTGCTGACACCAGGCCAGGCCTTGAGATACGGTCTCATGGCACCTTCTTTGAAAGGCAGAGCAGGACTGACTTCGTTTTGTACTGTATAACTATCTTGTATAACTATGTCTCTGACATAGCCCCTTTCCCGGAAAAACCACAAAATGTATCAATTACCCAAACCACCCTTAAATCAGCAAATAAAAATAAAGAGGGAAGTAACCCAGTGTAATTGGACCCTAGCCCTCATCCCACCAATCAAAACCAGCCAACACAATGGTCCAAGCATCACCCCACCACCCAACCCTAAATCCTATAAAAAGCCCTTGCTCTCCCAAAGCGCTCTCTCTCTCTCTCTCTCTCTCTCTCTCTCTCTCTCTCTCTCTCTCTCTCTCCCTCTCTCTCTAGTGCGCCATTGCACTGGTGATTGCTGGAGACGGGAGCCCATGATAGCATGGAATAAAAGGCTCTTTTATTTTTTGCATCAGACTCAGCTCCCTGGTGGTCCTTGGGGATCTTGAAATCTGGGCATAACATATTGTATGGTCCAAGGGCATAGCCTCCCCATTCATCCAATCAGGGCACTCCACGTGTATGCCATCTCATGAGGGCTGGGTACACCCTCCTGTTGTAGTTGAGACTTGATTACTATTGGCATCTCAATGGAAGGAACTTACCCCCCCCTCCCCCCCCAGACCAGGAGTACTAGTTAATATTGTGGATTTTTTTTCAATAGATGGAGTTACACATATGTTGATGTATATGTAATTTGATATGTATGCTATTTTGTTGTATTGACAACAAGCTTCAAAACTTCATATGTCAAATTTTCTGAATGTGTTAACATCATAGATATGTTTACATTTAAAAATGTTGAATTTCATACCAAAAAAGAGCATTGGCGGGAAGTTTTAACTCATTATTTTGAAGAAAAGTGCTGCTCCATCTCAAATTACTAGTAAGTTCCAGGTGGTGGCAGGAGAAGACTGGGGACTTGGTGTTGATCTCAGGCAAAACACATGTGGAAGTACATACAAACCATGTCAACATACCCTGGATAACTGTCTTGGCACACACCTGTGAATGCAGGAAGAGACTGCTATCTAGTACATATCGTAATCCATGAGGTGAGATGGAACAAAATTAAGAAGAGGGAAGAGGTGGCAGAGGGGGAAGAGGATGAAGAGGAGAAGGAAGACCAAAATAAATTCAGGATTTAGAACAATTCATGGGAAAGGACCACTGATTGGACCTCAAGGAGAAAAAATAATTTGCCTTTCTATAAAATTCTTTTGTTTTGTGTTAGAAATGATAATAAGCTGACCCTGATTTAAACACAACATATCACTAAGATTTCACTCAGAGGTCAAATCTATATATATAAAAGACTAAGTGACTATCCATCCAACCAGCCAGTGGGTATGATGTGCACTGTCCACCAGGGGGCAGATGCTCAATGCAGGAGCTGCCCAGTGACAGCAACTCTCACACTCCAGGACCTTTTCAAAGATGTTGGAGCCAGTTTTGGCCCAATCCCTGCAGATCCAGACAAGGGATCCCACTTGCTGGAGGGACCCTGTTCACTCCCCAGACACCCTTGTAGCTCCAGTGCAGCCCCAGTTGTGGCAGCCAGGGAGGGACCACGGAAGGTTGGCTTTAGGGTGTCTGGCCTGACTCATCCAGTCCTGTCCCATTGGCCACCTTCTAATTAATTTCTTTCAATGTGCACAAATCTGTGCACCAGGTCACTAGTAGTATTATAAAAAGCATTCAATTTCACTATTAAGCCCATAAGCAGATGAGTGAATAAAAAAAACTGTGGTACATCTATGCAATGGAACTCTATGCTGCTGAGAAAAAGAAGGAATTTTTACCATTTGCAGCAGCATGGATGGACCTAGAGAGCATTATGTTAAGTGAAATAAGGTAGTTGAAAAAAGATAAATATCACATGATCATTTCACTCATTTGTGGAATATAATGAAGAACATAAGCTGATGAAAATATATAAATCTAGAGATATATTGTAGAAGCATTGAACAGACAGTCCAGTCTCAGAGGAAAGGTGGGTGGGTGGGGGAGAGAGAAAAACCAAAGGACTTGTCTGCATGCATATAAGCATAACCCATGGACACAGACAGTATCAGGGTGAGGGCATATACTGGGGTGTGGGAATAGGCAGGGAGAGGTCAATGGGGGAAAAAAGATATACATGTAATAGTTTAAACAATAAAAAATTTAAAGCAGAAGTATAAATTATAACAGTAAGATACTTTATACCTGTCATACTTACAAAGATTTAAGAATTAGACCAAATTTATCATCACAAAAATAAAATTGCAACTATTTGAATAATGCATGTTTAACTAACTTGATGTGGCAATCATTTTGCAATATATGCATATATAAAATCACTATGTTGTACACGCTAATGTTATATGTCAATATCTAAATAAAACTGGGGAAAAACAGAATTCACTTTCATTGTATATTATTATTAGAATAGAAAATATATTTTTCATTCAAATTTTGATTATTATTTACATATTCTACATATCTTCTCTAATATTTTGTGAAAAGTATAAACTTAGGAGAAAACAAAAAAGTTAGAGTTTATATAAACCAAATTTGACTACATATTTTTTGAAACTGCATGTTTGTAATAAAACTTAATCTTCAAAAAAATTTAGGTTGGTGAAGATGGCAGCATAGGTAAATGCAATACGCCCATCCTCTCACAGCCACATCAAAATTACAACTAAACTACAGAAGAGTCATCATTCAGAAACACCTAAAATTTAGCTGAACAGAAGTCCTACAACTAAGGATATATCAAGCTTAGTAGGAGAGACAGAGACACAGAGCGGGCTGGTCCCACCTCTACATGTGACAGTTAAAAATTGGGAGGAATATCTTGGCTGCTTAGAGTGAAGGGTCCCATCCCCATACCA